CATGACTATTGGTGGACTAACCCCTGATATGATGCAATATGAAGTCCAGAGGTCAGCTTTGAAGTGGTGTTGTTTGAAATGTTTGATCTGAATGTAATCAAGCCCTTAGATCAACTTTCGGTTGGGAAATAGAGGAAAATAAGTTCAGCAAGACTTCAGAAAGTAAGTCAGACAATCCATAAAATACGACATTTTACAATACACCTGGCCAAGACTCTTCCCCAATATCATGGGGAATGGGTGGAATGGGGGGCTTTTCCCAACTAGAAAGACATAACTCTATGTATTGCATGAAGCTTGACTTGATCTAGATTCAAATGTTTAAATCAACCATAAAAACATCTTGGGGACAATGGGGATGATTATAGATTTGGTATTAGATTATTTTAGGAAATTACTGTTAAATTTGTTAAAAGAAAAATGATACTACATAGGAGTATATCTGTATTTCAAGAGAAGCTGAGTGTTGAAGTATTTCAGAGTGAAGTGCCATGATGTTTGCAACTTACTTTCAATGGTTCTGGGGAAAAATTGCAAATAGCAAAATGTTAATTATTGCATCTCAGTGGTGTGTATATAGGTGTTCATTGTTCTTTGCTTTCTATCTTTCTGTATGCTTAAAACTTTTCATAATAAAAAGTGATGGGGGTATTCTCAAAAAAAAATAATTAAATGAAAGCTCCCTTTCCCAACTCCTTTTTGGATTAAAGAAAACAATTTATAAATAAATGAGTAAATATGTAGCATCTATAGTATGTACACATTTAAAAAGTAATTCAATCTATGCATCTATGTCACCAATCCATCCATATATCTAGATGTCTGAAATCATTGCCTAATGTCAATTATGGTCATTTTAAATTTCCGCCCTTATATTTTTCTTTTGTTTAAATTCTTTATAATGATCATAATTGAATGACTTTTCTTTTTAAAAAATAAATATTTCAAGATATGGATTCTAGGTTGTAGGAATATAGATAATTATTGTTCTTTGTGCATTCCTGTATTTAAATAAAATAACCCTCAAGTTTTTAACCAAATTCTTGTAGAAGTGAATGCAAAGAAGTGAGGACAATATGTGTACACAACTCTTTGAGGAGTCTGACTCTGAAAGGAACTAAAAAAGAGGGCCCATGTGGGATCCAGGGAAGGTTTTTGTTTGCTGATGGAGAGAGGTTGCTGATTTCGAAAAGAAGATGATTATTCAAGGAGGTGGGGGGAGCGGACGCCAAGAAGTGCGGGGCTGGCCCTTCCACAGAAACAACAATAAGTTCCCTCCATTTTAGCAGGAAGAACAGGGAGGAACATTCTTTGATGGTTTCTATTAATGAACTATCACAGAAGGAGGTGAAGGACAGGGGTGTGGGAGGGTTCACGATGAAGGAGAAAGCCTGAAAGAGTGAGTTATTTTTGGGACAAGAAGAGCCAGTTGAGGCTTGTGATCAACAATTTAAAGTCAAAACAGCCAGCTCAGAATGGTTTTTCTTTCAGGACAGATGAACTGCTCAAGGACTGAAGGAAGGAGGCAGATGGTAGGTTGTGCCCAACAAGTGACAGCCAAGGTGGGAACCAGAAGGAAGTCATGCGGCTTCCAGAGCTGCTCTTCATGGAACTGGAGGGAAGAGCTGCCATAGCACATAGGTGGTGACCATCTCTGCAGAGACTGGAGCACGGGCCCTGGGAGTGACCATGACAAGTGGGACAAGACCAGCTGCCATGGTTCAGCTCGTGGATCCTGAAGCCCCAAAGGCTGATGTCAGTCTAGGTTGACAGGAACACAGGCATCGCCACTAAATGAATCATAGGAGCCCAGGAGCCATCACAGAGAGGACTGAAAGTGCAGGGGAAGACTGGAGTCTTCATGGAGCATGCACAGTGGGGAGCCACCAGACTGCTCCCTGCCCCTGCCCCCGGGGGCCCCAATCCCAGCACCCAACCAGGGCCACAACTGGGGTGAGATCAGGATCCAGCTCCATTCCAGGTGACGAAGGGAGCAGCGTATTCAACAGAAAGCAGGTTCTCATCAAAATGAGAAAATTAACAATTGATTTTGGTTTTTAGCGTGGACTTCCAGTTCCCACCACTGGAGATTCCAAATCAATAGCTTTTATAAAAATCTATCCAAGTGAGTCACATCACAAAGATAGGTTTGGAAACCACTGTGTTAAATCTCAAAGCCCTAAAATGTAGAAAGAAGTAGACACTCAGCAAATACTGAGCAAATATTTGTGAACTGAATACAACTAGTTCTATACTTTTTAAACATCATTTGTAAATGCTTGCATGTCATAGAGAATAGGTTTTAAATGGCAACAACAACAACAAAACAACTCAGGACCACCTGCACAACCATCATGAATCTGATTCCTAAGAACTATTATGACCAACTGGTCACAGATTCTTAGATAACCTTGCTTTTCCCTCTCACCCCAACACAGTTTGAAAGTTCATATCCTTCAACCTCTCTGTCCAACCAGGAAAATCTAGCATTATATTGAACTAAGACAAATAACTAAGACCACCCATCAAGTCTTGTACCCCAACCAGAAACAATCTGCTCAAAATGGAAGAGAAAAAACATCCGTTGAGCTACATTCCCATGACCCTAAAAATTAAGCAATTATCAAGGTCCTTCCTTCTAAGCGACAACACAACACTCTATCCTCAAACAGCTAATGCTTGGATCAGATTTCCATGGTTTACTGTTGTTATCAAATCACACCAACCCGCCTCCCCTCAAAACTGTATATTACTGAAATGTGAAACGTTTACTTATAACGGTTATTAAGGGTTTTTGCCTTGCTGAAACTAAAACTTGATTTCCTCCTCTAACCATGGAACTCAAAATTTTAAAGGTGGAAAGGCTAGAGCATGGAATGTCTCAGATAATAATTCTTCCTGGTGGGACGCTGCCCTTCATCTGGTAAACACTACCCTTCATCTGGTAAACACTGCCCTGTGTTTACCACTCCCTGCCTCCCACAAGAAGACATGTGTTTTGGAGGCACTGAATGCCATGGCAGGAGAGCACACTGCTCACTCAAGTGCAGAAAGTGAAGAGTGAGGTTCAAACCACCCAACAAACTCCAGTCCATTCCCAAACGAGCCTATGAATAGCATTCTCTTGTTTCTTATCCTAGGCGATCCAGGTTTAGGCATATGGTTATTCCACTTTCTTTAAGGCAGGGTTTGCATTTCTCATGGATGCCAGCCAGCAAGCGAGCTGCACCACAATGGTAGAGACCTTGAAAAGAATACTGACAGCCAGACTCACCAAAAAAGTATCCCAAATCTAGCCCTTCCCTCCATACCCCCATCCCAGTCCAAGCCATATCTTAGAATTATCTGAAATACTGCAATCACTTCCTAGCTCCTCTCCATGCTTCCAACACCATCCACCCATCAGCCAAGGAAATCTTAATCACACAGATTATGTCATGTTGGCACATGCTAAAACCTTCCATCTGATGGCATTTAAACTAAAATTAAAACAATTTGTTTAGTTTGATGGTCTCCCGGCTTCCCCTTGGTCCCCCAATAACTGTCTCAACACAGAGTGATTTCTCCCTGCTTCCCCTTGGTCCCCCAATAACTGTCTCAGCCAGAGTGATTTCGATCATGTTACTCTTATGCTCTTCCCAGTGGCTCTCATCCCTCAGAGCCTCCAAGGTGGCCACACAGGCCCTACATAATCTACCAATCCATTACCTGAGACCCATATAGTAGCATTCCCACCCAAACTCCTTACTCTTCCATACCTGGAATGTTCTTCCCCCATCTCACTCACCTCACTTGTTTTGCTTCAAATGTCACCTCCTCAGCGAGGCTTCACTGATCACACTGAGATGGAATTCTCTAATTCTCTCCCATGCCCACACTCCCTACCTCACTCCCTTTTCCTGTCTTACATTTTTCTTGTGAACACATAGCCACATCTGCCATGATAAAAATTCTATCAGTTTACTTCTTACTCCACTAGAAAGCTTTATGTAAGCTCCAGGAGGATGGATGGATGCTCCATAACATTTGGTATTTTGATCTGCTTTATTCACTTCTGAATCCCAAGTGCCAAACATTGCCCGGCACATAACGGGTGTTTAATAAATATTATTGAAGGAATTAGAGATCTGATCCTGCCTTCCCTGTCTCTCCTACCTTCTCCCACTTGTTCATTCAGTTCTGGCCACAGTGACGGTGATCTCTCTGTTCCTCCAGCAGGCCAAGCTCATGCCCTCTTCAGAACATTCCCATCTGTCTGGAATGCTGTAGTGCCAACCACTCCACCCCAACCGCTCTCATTTCATATCTAAAATTACTTTGATTATTCATGAACCCACTTGTTTATTTTTCTGTCTCCATCAATAACATGGAATCTTCAGAACAGGGGATTTGTGTTATTCACAGCTGCTTCCCTGATGCCTGTGACAGGGTTGGCACATAGTAAGCGCTCAATAAGTATGTTGTAGTTGTAAACAGCCAAGCTCATGTGAGTCTCCACTTTCTCAAGTATAAAATAAGAAGGCTGAAGATAATCTCTGAGGTCTCTTTGCACTCTTCATAAAATGTGGATTTTATAGTATAGTTTACAAAGAGCCTACCTTATGACAGCTCCAGCAAAGCTCTGGGAGGTAATTAACAGGGTTATAATAATTCAGCTTTCGCATCTGAGAAAACTGCTGACTATGGGACTGGCCCACAAGGCATAGGTATTAAGTAGTGGAGCTATGTCTAAATCCACAACGCTTTCAATGCTGCTACTACGAAAGCAAAATTAAACAGGATTTTCTAGTCCTTACAAATAGGTTCAAGGAACCACAAATTTGCTGGCTTACTATAAACACGTCCAAAAAAGTACATCATGTGAACGTCTCATTGTTTTCCCCAATTTTCCATGAACATGCTGGTAATGTGAGAATGAATGATTGCTCAAAACAAATGAACTCATCCGATTGTTGAACATGTAGATGTCTATAAAGAAATGTTCGCTTGTTTCAGCTCACCGGTGCACTGGAAAGCGTTGGGATGTAGCTCTACGGAAGCACAATTCTGCAGTGTCCTGCGGTAGTAAGTAGTGAAGTAAATAGTGGTGAGGCGTGCCCGCGATCACTGACAGGAGAATGACTTTGTTAGGTTGTAGTTGGGTTTTTAGACGCTGCGAAGGTTTCCGGCCTTGCGTAAACGTGGTCAAGGTGCAAAGCCCACGGCCACCCGCGCTGGCACTGCGACTCGAGGCTCTCGGTCCCCACCCGCCCTGACCCGGGCGCGGCCTTAGGGTAAGAAGGCATGGGCAACCCCGCCGCCCCCCACTGAGGGGACGTCGCGTGTCCAGCCAGCGTGGCGCGGGAACGGGAAGGTACCAGGTCAGGTCGCCGCGGAGCAGCCGGGCGCCCCGCGCCGATCCCGCCCGAACCCCTGGCGCCCGCCTCACCTATAGGTGGTCAGCAGCGCCTTGTTGACCAGCACGATGAGAAAGGAGCAGGTCCCGTAGAAGAGCGCGGACAGTAGCTGGGCCACCCCGGAGGGCAGCGGGGACGGGGCGGATGCGGGCTCGGCGCCCGCGTGGTCATCCTCGCAGGTCATGTCCCGCAGCCCCCGGCCCGCAGCCTGCCGCCCGCCTCCACTGCCCTCGGGCCGGCCCCGCCCCAGTTCCGTCCCCGCCCCCGGCCGCCGCGAGAGAGCGCGGCCAAAACAGGAAGGGCTTGGGCGCGAACACCACGTGCTCGCGCGCGCCCGGGGCCAGCGCCCCAAAGCTGCGCGCGCGGCGGGTGCCGCTCGGCAGGAGTTAGTCCTCAGGAATACACTGGGTCTAAGCACTCCTGACGGTGGAAAGGGAGATCAGAAACGAGATTGGAAGAAATAAAAACCCCTACCGTCTTCCAGACTGTTCTCTTGGGGAGAAACGCTTCGGTTAAGTCTTAGTGCTAGCTGGTTTTGGTTTTTTTCCCTACTTTTTAACATATAATTTACATACGACGAAATTCAAATTTTACGAGTCCACAGTGTAGTTTTGACTAATTCATACATCCGTGTAGCCATCCAAATCAAAACATTTCCATCACTCCAAAAAGTGCCTTTTTTGCTCCACCTAAGTCAATCCCAACTCATTCTGGTTCTATGGTAGATTCGATTTGCCTTTTCTAGAATTTTACGTAAATTTCATATAAATTAGTATGTCCTCTTTTAATCTTTTGCGCTTCATTTGCATTTTTGCAACTTTCCCATGTTGTTTCTTATAATTGTTGAGTAGTAACACGATTTATTTATCCATTCACCAATCGACGGGCATGTTGATTGTATCTAGTTTAAGGCTATTATAAAAACTGCTTCCACAAACATTCGTGTACAAATTCTTGTGTGAACCTGTATGTTTTCATTTCCCTTTGGTAAGTACCTAGGAGTGGAATGGCTGGGGTAAGGTGGGTGCAAAGTCTCAAGGTTCTCCTTGCCCCTGCGTGCTTTCTGGCAGGTCTTCTCCTGAGGACCCATTCCCTATCTACCCGGATAGCAACTAAGCATCAGTGTGTGTTGTTCACGTTAATTCTAGGAGAGCCTCCCAGAACTGCCTACTCTGACCAGAGTTCACTTGCTTTAGCATTTTTTCAAGTAGGTGTCCCATATTTCCATTCTATATACTTAACTTTAAAAATCTGAAATCTTAGCTTTTTAGAAAAGCTAAGGATTTCAAGTTAAAGAGATGTTTGAGCCTAACAGAATATCCATGCTGTACAATTGTGTTTTTTTGGTTTTTTTTTTATTGTAGGCACTGGTGAGAACTAAAGCAGAATTTTTGACAAAAAACTTAAGCACTAAAAAAGCCAGAAGGGAGGAGTCCACATTATTCAAAATAAGAAACACATGTAGGACAGCTTTAAAATAGAAAATGAATTCATATTCAAGTTGAACCAAAAATCTAAACTTAAAGTCATTTTGGTTAATTTCCTCAAAAAGATCAATTCGGCTTCCAGTGAGTCTCCAAATAAGTTTTGACTGCAAAACAGTAGTCACTTTTAATGACAGCCTTAATCATATTTGCATTTAATTTGCTTCTATGTACATACTTCCAAGACCTTAAGTCACTGTCAAAATCTCATCCTTACTGTTTAAATCACAACTCACAACTAAAGAGTTGCCTGTGCAATTCTTTAGCACAAAGCCTGGATGGGATGAACCTTGCCATTTAAAGTACAAGACTAAATATATACCAAAAATAACTAATGAAAAATTACACTGATTTGCTTGATCAGAAAAGTAAACAGGCTCTGAGTGGATTCTTGAAGAAGTGACCCCAGCTTTAACACATCCTGAATTTAAATAAAATGAAATCCCCCTGAGTAATGTAAGGTCTGCAATAGGCCTGGCACCAGTGTATTTTTAGCACTGTAATAATGAACCAGATGAGGAAGTGAAATGAATATGTATAATCAAAAAAAACCTCATTTTAAAGTAAGAAAAAGCATTTCACACTATGGTTCCAATTATGCTAAAAAGATACCTTGTTTAAGATTGGAATGAAATAAAAAATGTACTAAAATAATGATGGAAGAATGTAGGGCTATAGGTGACATTTCCTCTATCTTTTCTATATCATGGCTGTTATATTTTTGAATGGAAAACAAATTATAAAAGGTTCAGGAATGAACTTGTAATTTAAACTGTAAATTAAAATAAAATTTTATTCAAAGCATCTTTTAAAATTACAGCATGTTTATTCTTATGCTGTTAATTCTGCCAAACTACAACTTAGCCATATGAAGCATAAAACTCTTCAAAACCTTGAATGTAAACCACATTTTCAAAACAAAAAGCAGTCTTAACACACCTCAATTTTAAATGCCAATGTATTTTGTCCAAGTACATAGCTTATACCGAAAAAGAACATTTTAAATATTTCTATAGTAAATAGTTGTAATAATTTCTTAAACTTTCAATTATACAAATAAAAAATGTTTGTGAATATAACTATTATAGTTGACAAAAGCTGACCAGAGAAACAAAAACTCTTATTTTTGAAGGCCTTAAATTTTATTATCTTTGAATTGGCAAGTATTTGTATTTTTTTAATTCTTACCACCCTTCCTTCTTTATGTAATTTCACCAAATTTTAAATTTCCCAAGACTGATGAGTGTTGCTTTTTATAGTTCATTAAGTAATATTTAAGAAGAAAAATTCTAGTGAAAATGTTGAACCTAAAACCAAAAAAATTCAACGCTATAGTCTTTCTTACTGTGCTTATAAGTGCTCCAAGTTAAAATTCTATATATCAGATTACAAACAAAATTCTTAGACCATTACAAATATAAATTTTCTTATTACAAAAAAGTCCTTCAAAATTTACTGTACAGAGGATTACATTTGTAAAGTATGTCCTCATGATACACATTATTTGTTACTATCATCTTTCACACTTTCGCTCCTTTTCAGACATCTACATTCCTCCCCTTCACCATGGCTACATATGTGAAACTGTATACTGCAGCACACTGGGATTTGGGGAGAAAGAAGCCTACATTTTAGATAATGTTTAAACTACATCTGTACTACTTCAATTCAAAAAAGAAAATAAAGGCGCTGAAGAGCCCATGTTTCCCTCTTATTCTGAGGTTTACTCCAATTAAAATCCATAAAATCACCATGCTATGCATGTTATTTAGTTTCTGCTTAAAACAAAAGCTAAAATGAAGATAAAAGAGGTGAACTGCTCAGCTCCTGATTTTTATGTTCATGCTTCAGTATATAAAGTGGTGTTTAAAAACTTCATCTATTTGGGAAATGGTTTAAAACCACCACACTAGTTAACACACTTGCAGTTAAAACTATTCCAGAAGCCTAGTTATTTGAGTAGCTAATATTTTCTGCAGTGTTTAACTGATAGCTAAATTTAGTGAGCACAAAATAGCTTGGCATGTTATTCTGAAAAGCAAGGTGGCTTTATGCACTGAAAATATAAATAGGAGGCTTCCATTTGCTAATAATCCTAAACAAGCAATTAAAATTTAGTGTTTGCTAACGAAAGATCTAAAACAGTTCACTAAAAAACAACCCTGTAGATGTCCCTTTTATTAATAAAAATCCAAGTGCCAAATCTCATTACAGGGCCCATAATATTAAAAAACAATTACCAGGTTACTTAGACTTTGCAAGATTAATCACTCAATTTCAGCAAATGAGAAATAAGAAATGTGCAAAAGTTCCCAAGTTAACAAGCAAGGAATGACAAGTGCTTTTCAAATCTAAACAGCATAGTAAGTTATAAAGCCTCAGAAAGAGAATAAGACTGATTTTACTCCAATTCTGAAAATTCTGTACTATTATGCATCTCACCAAGATCCTCAAATATCTATTTTTCTTCTGAAGTCCATGACTTAGAACCTCTTCCGAAAGAGTCAGTTTTCCATTTCTCTAGTCTTGTTAGTCACACTATTTTGCAATTTAAAAATATGTCTTATACACATATCTTATATTTTCTTGCTTGCTTCAGTGTTTACAGTATTACTAAACATACTAATATACATTGTTAAAAATGATCTTATAAATAATCTATTTCAACCTTCTTTGGCTACATGTTCCATTGTTTTTCATATGAGTGTCTTATTCAGAAAGTGCTTCCTGTGAGAACTGCTTCCAATGAATGCATTAAACTTGCAAAATCTAGCTTCCCACAATACGTAGTTTCCTACCCTGTACTAAACTCCCATATTTACAAAATATTTTAAACTTTACAACAATCCATTACCATATAAAAAAAAAGTGCAATTCTCTCTCACCCCGTATTCCGGGGCAATGACATTCTTCATAAATTTCTACAAAATAGCAGCCTATGAAAAGCAAATAAGGTGCTTAGCTTATGCCCAAGGATCTACTTTTGAAGTACGCTGGGCAGTACTTTTGTACAGTGGAAGAGTCAGTGTGCAGGCTACTGGCGGAGTGGCGCTCCTGTCAGGTTGGCGAGCTCTATGAGAGCGAGGGCTCCGTGCAGGCGTTCCCGCTGTTCCTGCAGCCGGCGCTGGGCACCGCTCTACTCATCATCCTCCTCGTCAGACTGAAGGTATTCCAAAGGGTCCTGCTGCTCCTGATCTGCCTTCTGAACGAGCTTTCCTTTCAAGGTAGGGGTACGCTGCTCTCTTGTTTCCCAATACCTATGGGAAATGCATTGTATTAGTTATATGATATACATGACATTCTCAAATGTTTACTTTGCTTTTTTAAAAAAGGTTCTTTACCACATATTAAATGTGTTTAAGTTTTAAAAGTTATAAAGTGATTTCACATATATTTCCCATTACTAAAGAAACAATTCAACTTTGAGAAGTTGAGGGACTTGCTCAGATTTCCAAAATCAAAAACTGGCAGTTCTGGGTCTCATACTCAACTCTCTGATCATATGTATTTGCCATTAAACTATAGTTAACTTAAAGATCATATATGAAATGCACTGAAGTATAGAAACAGTAGAATAATCATTAGAAACCTATTTATCCTATCCACAGAGGGATGGTGACTTCTGACACTTAACTATGAGAAACTTTAAACCCACAATATATGACATACAGATTAATATCTATAACACGTAGAACTTATTCAAAAATTTAAGAGCACCACAATTACTCAACTGGTAATTCACAAAATGCAAATGTTACACCTTGTTGGAAACTAAAGAAATGCATATTTAAATGACATTAGCATTACATCCAAAAATGTCCAGACTTTTATATTAATGTTCACAGTAGCTTTATTTGTAATAGCCAAAAACAGCCCAATGCCTATCACTAGATGAATGAATAAACAAGTTGAGGTGTAGCCGTACAATGGATTACTACTCAGCAATAAAAAGGAGTGAACTATTGATACACTAAACAACATAGATAAATCTCAAAAAACTTATGTTGACTGAAAGAAGCCAGACAAACAGGAGTATAAAATTTTGTATAAAATTCTAGAAAATGCAAACTAGTTTATAGTTACAGAAAGCAGATCAGTGTTGTTTGGGGAAGAGGAGGGCAGGAAGGGGTGGGAGTGATGGATTATAAGGGGACCTAATGGATATATTCACTGTCTTGATAGTGTTAATTTCACAAATGTATACACATGTCCAAATGTATCGAACTGTATGCTTTAAATATGTACAATTTATTGTATGGCAATTATATCTCAGTAAAGCTGTTTTTAAAATTACATACAAAAAAAATACAACTTCTGGATTTCAAGAAATCAAGACTACTCGAACTGGGAAAGTTTTGGCAATATTCAGGTTTAAAAAAAGAAATGCAAATAGTTCAGTATTACTTGAAATGCAACTAGAAAAGAGAAACAGCAAAAGAGAAGTTTAGCTAAGTCAGCCAGGACCAAGTAATGAAGGGCTGGTGATGCCATAATAAAGGGCTTAGACTTCATATTGAGGATCACAGTAGCATTTTAGAAAGACCCCTCTGGCAGCAGCATGGAGAATGGATTGAAAGGGTGGAAGTGGCTGAATCTGAGAGTTTTAAGGAAGCAGAATCCGTAAGTTGGTCACTGAGTCGTTGGAAGAAAGAGAGGATAAAGACAAGGATGACCAAGAAGTTTCTGGCTTGGGTAAAATTAGAGATAATGGGACAGTGGAGGCCAGACAGGAAGGAGAGAGAGAAAAGAAGTGATGCAGTAAGCAAGACAAACATAATCCCTGCCCTTGTGGAGGTTATAGTCAAACAGAGAAGATAGAAACTGAATGAATAAATAAGTGTGTAATGAAGATTTTGGAAGGGAAAATACAGTGTGTTACAAAATCATCTATTAAGTGAGTCTAACCTTGTTTGTTTTGGTGTTGGTGAACAGGTTAGGGAAGGACTTCCTGAAGTGATGTTAAACCTGAGTAAGAAATGAAAAATGAGCTGAGTGGCTAAAGAGGGAAACAAGCATTTTCCACAGAGGCAGCAGTGAGCACAAAGGCCCAGAAACCACAGGGTGAGTGGTGTTGAGAAACCAGGAGCCCAGATGGGTGGAGACAGTTGCATTGCAGGAGGGAGGCTGAGCACCAGCAGTACAATCAGGGGAGCTAGACTTTCTCTCAAGTGCAGAGGAAGCCACTGAAGCTAGGGAGTGGCACCATCAGCTGCTGCTGGTTTATATATGAGATGACTCCTTAAATCAAACTAGTTTTAGAGAAATTTCTTTATACTGCCTCCCTTGTTGCCCTTAAGAAAAACTAAAATAGATGCTTTTAAGAACTTTAGAAGAACATTGCTCTCCATCTCTTACTCTTTCTATATATATAGATGGATGAGTGGATGGATGGATGGGTGGGTAGATATATATATATAAAAATATCATATATTTATGATATATATCATATATTATGAGTATGTATATATTATATATAATTAATATGTAATATATACTCATATATTATATGAATATATTATATATAATACATAGTATATATTATATATTACATAGTATATATTATACTCATATAATAATCAGCACAGATCTAATTCTAACAGAAAATGAAGAGATGTTGCACTAACAATAAATGAAATACAATACGTATAAAACATTCTTTTAAAATGAGGGACTCTTGCTTTTAAAATAAATTGTGGTCTGGGCACTCAGTACTAATTAATATCATATAGTAGTTCTCTATCACACACAGAACCTAATAACACCCCTAATGATTCAGTGGTTTAAGGAAATAAAAGCACCATTTCAAGTTATTATATAAAATGTGTATAAAATCAACTTATTTAAAATGAGAGAGATTCTAGGAAACATGGCAGAGTAAGAGATATCCTCAGATCTCTCCCCTTGAAACAATAAGCTGAACATCTAAAACTCAATAAAAAACACTCAAACGGCACCCTAGCACTTCTGAGTGTGGGATCTGCACATGAGAGCTACCACAGGTCGGAACCCTGGTCGTCAGGCGGTAGATTTGGAGAAATAAAGAGGCTACCTCTCGAAGCTGCCAGAGCTCCCTATTGGAGGAGGGGAAGGGGAGAAGGAGTGGCGCATTCCCTGAACAGCCCTGCCTGGGAAAGCTGTGAGCTCCCCCCCCCCGCCCCTCCCTCTGAGGCGGCAGGGCCCAGTCACAATAGCAGAAGGCAAAGAAACAGGACCGCACACAACCCCCAACCCAGAGGGCTCCTCTACCCATACCATCCAAGACCGATCACCCCGGAACCCCAGGGGAATCTGAGCAAATGTTGCCGAGACTATCGCTGACATTGACAGTGACTGAAACTGAGGGTAGACAGCGTGATTAAGTTACGTCTGACATCGCAGAAATACAAAGGATCATTCAAGAATACTATTAAAAAGTATATAATAACAGATTTAATAACCTAGAAAAACTGGACCAGTACTTAGAAAAATACAATATTCCTAGATTGAATCAAGATCTGGAAAATCTAATCTGGAAAATAAGCAGTTTAGAAATTGAAATAATCATCAAAAACCTACCAAAAAGTAAAAGTGCAGGACCTGTGAATTCTACCAAACATTCAAAGAAGATTTCATACCTATTCTCCTCAAACTCTTCCAAAAAATCAAAGAGGAAGCAATACTTCTCAACTCATTTTATGAGGCCAATATTATTCTGATACCAAAACCTGGTAAAGATAACACAAAAAAAGAAAACTACAGACCCATATCTCTCATGCAAAAATCCTAAATGAGATATTAGCAAACTGAATACAGCAACATATTAAAAAGATTATACACCACGATCAAGTGGGCTTCATCTCAGGGGCAAAGGGCTGGTTCAACATACGCAAATCGATCGATGTGATACACCACATAAACAAATTAAAAAATAAGAATCATATGATCATATCAATAGATGCAGAAAAA